GAACTTGTGTCCGAAAGGATAAGATCTCCCTCTACAGCTGTTCTCCCTCACTTTCCCTACCCATATTACTTTTTGTTTCCTTTGTTTTGTTTTCAAAAGATGAACTCCATCCTCGAGGGTCCCTTCATACCAGCTTGAATTGTCACTGAGAGAAGATAAATTGGTTTTGTTATATTTTTAATGCGTTTGCACTGACGGTTCATGTTATGGGTAGGGTGTATGAGTTTTATATGGAGGAAGAATTGTTAGTTACATGGATTGTTTATTTTATATGTGGCGTAGTTGAGTTAACGTTGTATAACTCTTTTTGGTATTATTTTTGACAAAACAAAAAGTGTTTAGAAATTATTTTTGTATTTAGCCGTTTTGTCTTAGTGTAGAGCTGTAGCATCCTGTCTATCATCTCAAATTGAAAGGAGTTTGAGTTCTTGTGAAACGCTCTTCACCGATAAACATTAAAAGAGTCCAAGTTCATGCTACAATAATTACTTCCCAACGAGCTCAAGACTCTTTCTAATATAGAGTCCTGATTTGCAAGAGCATGGTGAAGCCTAGCCAACGCAAAACTTGTGGATAAAGAAACGTTGGATGAGAGACTCCTACTGAAACTCTGCTAGGGTTGTTCCTTCTGTATAAAATCCGACGTCTCCATCTTAGAGGTGTGGGTTAAAAAAGATCAGGATAACCAAGAGAGTAATATTCACATACAATAGTAATTTTGGTGAGAACAAAGATCACACCATCCTAATCGTTTATCAGCATGCGGTCTCGCAACTTGATGGTATTGTAATTTATCCTGGAGATGCTGCATGACTATATGAATGTGAAATCATTGTGATGTCCAGAAGTTGATCCTTGATGTTCTGGAACTAGCCTCCTCATCTATGTGGAGTGATGATGAGCACGATTCTTGAGGTGTTGAAGGGGAAAGCAATTATGCATTTGTCGCATAAGATGATGAAGATCAAGCAAAACAACTTCTTGTTCTTCAAGAAAAATGGATTAAGCTTTTGAAGATTTACAAGCAAAACATTCTGGAGAAAAAATCGACTTCAATCAGAGTTAGAAGCTATCAAGCAAAATCTTGATAAACTGTAACTCAAGCTCGAATAAGTAGAGGAGAGTAGTTCAATCTGAAGTATGAGCACCAACAACTTAGAAATTACTAAAAATGGATGTAAACTGCTAGAGCTGAAGTCATGGAGGGACAAGTAAATATCTAAAAATATTGGTGATAAAATAGGTTTGGGCTATACTGAAGCAAGAGCGAGTAAAACACCTCTCAATCTCTTTGTAGAAAGCCTTGTACAAAGAGGAGAAAGTGTTTGCTAAAGCTAAAACACTTGGCAAGACATATTCTGGGAGAAATGTTCAAGGAGCGGGCAGGCAGAGTAAGATGACACATCAACATCCAGTAAAAAGGTATGCAAAGTTCAAGCCATATTCAAATTACACACTACTACAAAATAGGGCAAGGGCATCGGTTGTTTTGTACCTTTAGCATCGGTTTTGTACCGATGCAAATACGAGCGATGCAATTGGTCAAAATCAATTGCATCGCCTTTAGAAACAACCGGTGCCTTTGCTATTTTATTAATTAGAAAATTAGGGAGTATTAGCATCGGTTGGTTACAAATAACTGATGCCTTTGCTTTTTTTTTATAATAAAAAAAATAGTATTAGCATCGGTTGTAGACAAACAACTGATGCTTTTGGTAAAAACCGAAATTTAAAATAGAGAATTAGCATCGGTGGTTCAGCAAAAACCGATGCCTTTGAGCATTTAATTTTCGATTTTTTTTTTAAAATCCGCAATTGCATCGGTGTGCCAGGAACAACCGGTGCCTTTGCGATATTTATTTTTTAAAAAAATATTTAGAAAACGGTATTTGCATCGGGTTTTCAAGAAAAACCGATGCCGTTGCTCAATATTATAAATTTCAAAAAATATTTTGAAATGTATTTGCATCGGTATTTACTAAACAACCAGTGCCTTTGATATAAGATTTTTTTTTAATATTTTACAAAAACAGCAATAATTCTACACAATGAAGCAACAGTACAGAAACTACACATTCATGTACCACACAGCACTACTTATAAGAGATATAAGTCTCAAACATTGAAGGACAAATTAAATTTCATTGTATACATCCACCAAAATGTAAAAGGATTTAACATACTACACAACTTACAACACAAAGTTGTGTCCAACTAACAAAACGGGTTAAAAAGTATACCAAATTAAACTAAATTTGTTTGTCACTAGGGATAGAGTGGCTAATTCACTAACTCATCTAGAAAGGTGTTTGCCCACATCTCTCGTAACTCTTCAAGTTGTTCAATCGTATACGGATCAAAAGAGTTGAACACCTGTAAAAACAAAAACAAAAAAAAAAGAAAAGAAATCAAAAGAAAACATCTTTGATAGGAAAATAAGTGATATTCATCATGATGATGAGTATAAAAAGTCATTACAACACCATCAAGAAAACCCATACAATAATTAAAGACTAACCCTTGCAAATTACCTCTCCACAAAATTAGCATAAAAGGCAAATTTCTTTCCATTCAAAGTAGTAACTTACCGTTTCTATTGGAACGGATTCACGGGCACAAAGACTGATGATTAGCCACATAAACCTCATGACATAATACCCACACTCTGTTCCACCGGGTTGTTGTGGTACGATACCGACATCAGTCCACGTGGGTTTCAGTTTAAGAAAACCCATCCCCTGTACTCGAAGGATCCTCCAAGCTCTTCGATCAAATTTTAAAATAAGTAACCATCATTTGAGTAATACATGAGAAAACACAATTCAAATAGCAATTGCATAAAATAAAGATAATATACACTTACTCGTTTA